CAAAATGAAACATAGTACAATGGATTACGAAGAATTCTCTACAGCTGCTTATAGGCCATATGATTAACTGTTTTGTGAGAGTGAGTGGAAAGTTTCTTAAAATCGATAAAACTCAGGCAGAGTAAAAACTGATTTAGTGACATATCTGGAATACTTGATGTACCAGGTGGAGGTGACTCATCGTACTAAATCTTACTGTGGTCAGTCGGCCCACAGGACATTCGTAATCTTGCTGCGGTTTGAACTTGGCGTTGAAATCATCAATGATGAACTTGTAGTTGCTATGTTCATGTAAAGTACGAAATAATATACACTTTTAATGAAGGACGAAGAATGGATATGCACAGTAACAAAATGAGCACAATATCGACGTGTCCTTAGGGCGAGAGCGGGTCGATAACCGGCCAGTGGTGACAACTGCGCACGTCAGTAGTGAAAGGTGTAGTTTGAACTCTTTGCTGGCGACTCCACTTAATAGAAGTTCAGTCGTTCAAGTAAAGCTGCAGTTGTTGCTGCAATATAAGCTTCTACATGAGGTGTAAAGCAGTTCGGTTACTGACGAAACCCGGTTTCTTTGCTCGCAGACGCATTCTTTGACAGACGATATCTCCAAAGTCGATTACCATTTCGTTTAAAATGGTAGTAGTTTTCTGATATTCTCATTTGAGAAAATCCACGCTTCAGTTTCATAGAGGAGAAGGAATACAGCAAATTCTTACTGTAGATGCAGTTGAGGTTCCAGTGTAAACTGCAGATGTCGCAAAACTTGTGGCAATGATCCAGTGGCATAGGCAGCAAAACGAAATTTGAGCAATGTCTGTGATTTGCATCACCGAGGGGAGCGCTGTATGTCTGAGAGATATGTAGTTGTGCGAGTCATTCATTGCTTCTGCCGTATCGGTATCCACTGCCACGCTATGAGCCTGCGTTTGCGTGGCAAAGTTTTGAAGTTTCGTCCACTCGTGACATATTATCTGCTGAACTTCACACTTGCATCTTTGAAAATCAAATGCATCTTCGAAAATCCCTCTTTTATGGAAGTTTTTGAACATGTAATTTGCCGTCTTACGTAGATGTAAATCAGTTTGGACGCATGATGAACACCGATACTGTGCCTTTGTTATTCGTCATGTGCTCGTCATTCCTAAAGGTAGGAAGTTCTTTGAAATTTGATTTTTATCATTTGATGTAAATTATCTTTTGGTTCTAACGTTCAAACATAAATGCTAAATTTTTGTTATATTCTATTATAATATATTTTTTGATTTAGGTGGGAACCTTCGACCCATTGCCGAATAAGCACAACGAAAAGTTGGTAGCTATAAACTTTGAGCGAATCCGTTATTGGATGGCCCAAAACGTATCGATTTCGGTTAGTGTTTTGGAATTGCTTGGTCTTTCCGGAATGTTGCCCATCCACCCGTTCACCTATATAAGGGCGAAACATTTGAAACAAAACCAATTGATTTC